TCTTGAATGGGTGTTCTTAAATGTAATTTCATTGTGCTCTGTACAATGACAGGCATAATCAATCAATCAATCAATCAATCAACCAATCAATCAATCAACCAATCAACCAATCAATCAATCAATCAATCAATCAATCAATCAATTTAAATTTTGTCATTAGTCTACATTATTACATTTAATATGATAGTTCCAATTCAAACAGAATAGTTTATTGTCAACATAATTATGGAGTGTGATTTATTTTCAACTCAAAATATCTCCACACTAACAAAATGTAGTTATTAGTGAAGAAAATCAGTCTGGATAAAAGCAGACTGACTGTACATAAAATATACGACAGGGTGGACCACATGTGAATTTTGTTCGTATCTGAAAAAGTCTCACAATATGACAAAATTGGTGAATGCCATAAGTTCTCCTAAATTAACCGTACACACAACTTAAAAACAAATCTGTTGGTTGTTGCGTGAGGCCCATTGCTTTTTCAGTGAAACTGCAACATGATCTTTGGAGACATAAATGGGTTTTAAGGAAAAGTTGATAAAGTGTCTTTATTTTATACAAGAAATTCATAAAATACATGTAAATACATTGTACATACAATGGTAATAACATGAAGCTTGCTTATGTTTAATGCATGTAACTTTTTATCAGAACAACTTTTCTGGCTAAATAATGTCTTACAGGATTGTCAACTCTATTTTCATGAGAAAATATTTGTTGTTAACAAAACGCAGCAAACAAACATGGAAAGGTCAAATTTCCAGCTTGAGTGACGTGTTTACTATGTACATCAAATGCATCGTGGGTTGCCAGGTATCAGCTATATCCTTTATTAAACCCGAGGCACATTCACTTTAAAAATGCCTACCACATTTAAAACATTCTACAATTATTGTTAAAAATATATAGTAGAAGAAACTGATMATTGTATTTTTGTTGTTTTCGTTAWAAGTGTGATGCTGTGACCTTTTAAAGAAATTTCGTATTTCCAGCATCTGGCAACGTGAGAGTAGCCTTGTGTTTCCTGCTCCTCCTCGGACGCAGCAGCAGTCACCATTTTGATTCAGCGGTTCAGAGGTTCACATCTACTTTACAAGACCTGAACAACAGACCAGGAGCAGTTCCGGTAATAAAGAACATATTGGTGAGCATGTACAAAAAGCGATTTTTTTATTATTTAAACAACTTCGTGCGTTTTTAACATTTGACCGTAGCATCGACGTATTTCCGTTGCTAAATTAGCTTTCTGCTAACTGAAAGCCACAACGAGGCGAGCTGCAGGATTGACGTTTCACAACGCAATGGCGATAGTTTGTAGCGYAATGATTTATCAACTACAATTGCTCGAAATCTTGCACGTGTTTATATATGTAACATCCCTTATCTGGTATTTGTTTTACCCAAAATTAGGTGGTGCAGTTTGATACTTTTTTTGTAGTAAGTTTAAAGGCTGAATTGGAAAACCACAGGAATTGCGTTATTTCTGGCGGCCATCTTGAGAAGTTCTTTGTCATTTAATACCTTTACATGTGGAAGCCGCACGTTGTTAACTCTTTTCGTGTTGAATGCTGTGTTATCAGTCTTTAAAGCGCTCAGAAAAAGCTCTAGTTTACCTAAATAAACGTAAGTGTGCTCATTGTGAAAACAGAAGAGTATTTTTAATGAGCCCCGAAGTAAGTCCGTTTAAGAAAAAGCACAATGCCGACATGACGATGCGCCACAACTACTGTGATGAACTACCACAGCTTTAATAATTATAATCAGACCAGTTCATAAAACCGTTTTAAGTAAGTACTTAATATGGACCGTTTCGCGCATAAATTTTAGCACCGCCTACCGGATATGGCGCGCAAAGGTTTGTGGGATTGTTTGGAGGCAATCGACAGTGAAGTTAATGAATAAACAGGTTCCCAAACTTCGTGGAGATGCCTGTTGCGCAGTTTCGTTTTTGTTTGTGATGGACCAACTTCTAATTAGAAAAAGGACAAACTTGTTTAGAATTTTTATGGGATTAGGTCATATTGTGCAATAATTTCACTATAAATATAATTATTGATTAAAATTAGCACTGGGCGGTATGATCCAAATTTTATATCACGGTATTTTCAACAATTACACCGGTTTCATGGTATTTGACGGTATTTTTTTCCCTCACAGCTCAGCTTGATAATAAAATGTACAAACTTTGCTTATTGACTTTTTTCTTTTACTGTACCTCTGTATCACTGTTTCCCTCCTCTTGTACGTCTTTTCTTCTTTGACTGGTTGTAGACAGTAATCGTGCATTTAGGTCCGATCGTGAAGGGTTGAGAAAAAAATCTTTATCTGGTCTATTGTTGCGTGTAGTGCTGCCACGATTAATCGATTAATCGTGGCAATATATCGTATCGTGACCCCTCTGTTATGATATGTATCGTATCGCCAAATTCTTGCCAATACACAGCCCTACTAATAACTTAGAGTATAATATAAGATTGGGTCAGGTGATAGCACAAATAATGATCACAATATTATTTAACAGTAAAATAAGAATTGTTAGTTGATTAACATTTTATTATTGATTTTAACTGTTGATAAGTTTTACAAGGTATTAAACTGCATCATCCAAACTGTTATCCTTTTTTTTTAAAAAATGGACAACATAAATATACATGGATTTAAGTGTGTGTGTGTGTGTGTGTGTGTGTGTGTGTGTGTGTGTG